CCCCAAAACCCCAAAACCCCAAGCAAGAATAAATAGAAAAATAACAATGAATATAGAATTTAAAACATTTGATTTACTGATTTGTTTGAAAATAAATATTATCATCCAAAATCGAAAGACATCAAAGTCATAAATTCAACTTTGCATTATCTTTGTAATTTTTCTTATTATTATACTACCTGTAGCAGTATTTGAAGATAGGATGTCTATCTTATCATTTGCAGTATTTTTATCCTTTATTAATTTTTTTCCTTTCTTGGCAAGGTAGAAGTCCATTGCAGTCCTAAAATACTTACGAAACCCAGTTTAGATTTTGAATTAGTTCAATACTTCATCTGGGATAAAAGCCATATTCAAGACAATTGAAACAATATCTGACTACTCACAATTATTATCATCATCATCATCGTCATCCTTAATCAAAGGGTCTCTTGCTGGAACATCACAGCAGATATAATGTAAATCTCTGGTGTATAGTGGGTTCGCTAAGATAATATAGTAAGGTACTCCTTGAATAGCTTTTTTAGGAATTTTAATTTTTTATAGTGTATCTTCAATTTCTCTGCTAATAATGGAAAATCCATATTCTTCCTTGAGATTTTTGTTTTCCTTCAGAAGCCATGCAGCTTCTCTTAGTCTAATTGATTTAAAGAAAAAAGGCAAGTTCTAATCAACATTTATTTTAGACCCACCAAAAGTGAATCCCCATTTTTTAAGGGTCTTCTTAAAGAAGTTTTACATGAAAATTATACAAAAGATGCAAACTCCAATTAATAGTAGTGGAGAAGCTTAGTCAACTCTAATACTTTTGATGGTGTGACCTGATTTCATTAGCTCATCTATATCCTCAATAAGATTGTGTTGATTGCTAAAGACAATCTTGCTTGAGAGCATCCAGAATCCAAAGAACAAATAGAAGATAGCAGCCCATCTCATTTTCATTAGTGCATTCTTAGACATTTGATCATCAAAAGTTGGTGGAAGTTGATAGAAATAAGCTGCAAGAACTCTTTCAAGTGAGTATAAAACAAAATACGTCCACGCGGCAATAGGGAAAAGAATAGGCATTCCAAGGCCATACATCATAGTAACAAAGGTAACATTAAGAATACCTGAATACTTAAAATGGATAAGATATTCTGGACCACTGTAAATATCAATATACTGTTGCATATTAGTCATTTTAGTCTTATAGGTATCTTTGCCACAGCTTCTATCGAATATTCTCTAGAACTATAGAAATAAATAGTCAATTCCGAATTCAATAATTGGGAATACCGAGTTAATGATCATGGTCTAAGTGATCTTGTAACCTACAGCAGTGTACCAAAGTGGGAGGAAATCATAGAACGGACCATTAAATACTGAATGACCAAGAGGAAATCGAACTTCATCAAGATTTGCTTGAACCAAGAGCATTAGGAAACCAGTATTAAGGAATTGAGCAATAAATATACCATTAGTAATTGACTTTAATTATTACGAGTAGGTATCTTCTCCAATCCACTTTATCAAGTTAATTAATACGATTCTAAGAACAAAGTTGATCACTACGATGGCTAACGACATTATACCTCCAAGAATGTAGGAAAGGAGTTTATCTTGCATATAAGTATAGCAAATTGGCTTTTAAACTTAGGAATTAGTTTCATCTTCTAATCTAACTCCGTCAACAAGTGAGTATTTGGTGAAGAACTTGTCATTTTTTTATTGAAATTCACAAAAACATTTGACTGTACTCATGTAAATTGGCTCCTCTTTTTCCTTGTCCTCTTTGTCAAAATTTCTGTCCCACTCAGCAAAAGCATTAGCAGCGAATGAGTTTCCTTAAATTTTAGCAACATCATCACAATCAACGGCTGGATACTTTAAAATAGCTTTGTTGGCAATCTTGGAACAAGCGAAAATAATTATGAATGATATAGAAAGTAGAAGAAGAACGCATGAAACAACAATAAAAGTTCTTTTGATTCTATCCCATCTTGTAAAATGTCTGTTTTCCCAGATAATATCAGTGGGCTCAGAAGCATATTTAAAATTTAATTCTTGCCCAAGAAGAGTTCTGATATCAATAAATTCATTTGCAGTGACTGTTTATTTGTAAGCTATACATCTATTAATGCCCTCTTCATTCTCAAAAGTCAAGAAAGCAGTAACTGGTCTGTTATATTTTTCAAGAAATTTTTACTTTAAGTGGTCAATTTTCATATTAATTTCTCTCATCTTATTGTAATTCTCTTATTATATTGCAAGACCCCTCTTTTTAAGTAAATTTATTAGGTCGGAATTATCGAAAGCAAAAGTAATCATAGAAATTCTAATGTGTTCTATTTTTTAGTCTTCGAAACCGAGATCTGGAAGTCTTGAGAAGTTTTACTCAAGTTATTTAATAAGATACTTTTTGAATTGATATAACTTAGTGCTTTTATAGTTTGGGTTGTAAATCTTTTCAATGAAATTCTTCCACATTTTTTCTGAAATATCTAATTCAACTGAGTAGTCTCCTGCTGTAACAGTATTTACATCCCACTCTATGTAGAGATTTTTGAAGATACCATTTAGATAGTCAACATAAACCAAGAAGAATAGACTGATAAAGATGCCAATACAGCCAACTATTAAGCCTTAGATTCTTCTTTTCTATAGTTCCCCTTTGTGGAACGTACAAGGAATTTGGACAAAGAAATTTGAAGTTTCTTCAAGGCATCGATTGCTCTTGGCTGTAAAATTATTAGTAATCATTCCTCTGATCTTTTAGACATCTATTTCACATTCTGACTTATCAAAGCATTTTTCTTAGATGTATGATTAGACTTAAGCCTAATCTAGTTCTTCAGAACATGATTTAGTAATATCGTTTCTACGACAAAAGTTTTAAATTTTACTATTACCTGGTATAATGCCGAAATCAAACTAATCAAAGAGCATTCTTCCAGATTAGCATTCTATCTAGATAAATTTGGATTCCATGGGTGCAATTTTACAAAGAGTTTCACAACCACCTTATCAAGTTTAAACATCAATATCAAAGAATACCCATATTTCCGAGTGAAAACTAAGTAACAAAAGGCATTGGTTGCTTAGCTAGTCCGTTATATGATGCATAAACAAAGACAGAAGGAAGAGAGAAGACGAAAACTAAGAGCATAAGTACAATTAAATATTTCAAGGTGTCAAAATAGACATTCATACCAAAACCTAAATGATCGGGATTAAACTAAACTTGTGAAAAATTGTTGCATAAAAATAGAACATGGACTTACCCAGCCTAAGAAAAGGGTCTTTCTCAAGTTTCAAATCATTTTTAGGCATTTTTGCGTCCATAATATAGAGTAAAGCCTTCTTTAAAGCAAGTCTGTAGTCTTTCTTGGGCTTTTTTAACAAACACCCGCAAACTCTTAGGTAAGGAAGAGCCTTCAGAAGTGGAATTCTAGCTAAAGGATGATTGTGATCAATCGTTGCTTTAGCTTAATTGATCTTAAGCAAGAAGTTAAAATTGATTATTTACATACCTGTGGAATACTCAAAGAGGTGGGCTTGTATTTATAAGATGATTCGATTTTTCGATAATTATCGTCATCATCTACTGCACTCATTTAATATCTTTTAATAGCACAATTAAAAGTATTCATTCATTATTTATTTATTTAGCAACCTCAAATAATCAAAGTTGGTAGATTTGAGGGGTTTTGGGGTTTTGGGGTTTTGGGGTTTTGGGG